GCATGATGAATGCTTATGTTGACAAAACAAACACGTTACCCAAACTAATGATCAACATCGAATACTTGGCCAATCTGGGAATGGAAGTATCGCTGGAGGTTTTGAAGGAAACACTTCGCTGGAGAAAAGGGATTCCTGTTCTTATTTCAATTTTTGGAGGTAGCAACTCCGTCGAGGATAAAACCCTGATCTTGATTTTCCTCTTTTTGAGAGGCGTTTGTAAACTTCAAACTTTTCTAGAGGGACGATGGATGAGATGTCCGTAAAGATTCGTCATTTTGGAAACACCAATGTAAGTTCCTTAGATACCATTAAGAATTCAAATCTTATAGGTTGTGGTTTCTAGAGCCAGGTCACAAGAGGTGTACCACAAGTCGAGATATAGTTTTTAATGAAGCTGAGATGACTTTCAAGAAAACTGATGACATTGGTCAAAGTTTGATTTCTGAAGAAGAGCTGTAACAAGGAGAAATTCCTGTTGAGGTGGAGCATAGTAATGCTAAATTGCATGGCCCAAATGAAGTCAAAGAAGAAGCAAAAGTTGTTGTCGAAGATGAGGAGACTGATAATGACTACCTGTTGGTAAGAGACAGGTCAAAAAGAGTCATCAAGCCACCTCAAAGACTTGTTTATGTAGATCTCATAATTTATGCCTTAATTTCTACAAGTGAGGTCCTTGATGAAAAACCTAGATATTATAAGGAATCTATGAGGATTCGAGACAAGAATAAATGATTGAAAACCATGAATGATGAGATGAAATATCTTCATGATAATAACACTTGGAAGCTTGTCGAGAAACCTGCAGGAGCTAGGTTAGTCAGTTGTAAGTGGATTTTTAAGGTTAAGGAAGGAATCAAATGAGTGATATCAAAGCGCTTTAAGACACGGTTGGTTGTTAGGGGGTTCACTCAGAAAGAAGGTGTCAACTTCAATGATGTGTTCTCATATGTTATAAAGCATATATCCATTAGAATGTTGTTAGCTATGATGGTGAAGTTCGACCTAGAACTTGAACAAATGGATGTGAAGACAACCTTACTGTATGATGATCTAAATGAAATGATCTTAATGAGGCAACCTGAAGGGTATGTAGAAAAAGGAAAGGTGTGCAAGCTGAATAGGTATTTGTATGGCCTGAAATAATTTCCTCGGAAAGGAATAAGAGATTTGACAAGTTCATGACACACATTAGTTTCACTAGGAGCCACTTCGACCACTGTGTTTACTTCAGATTTCAACCTAGAAATCCACTTGTTATTTTGTTGCATTATATGGATGACATCCTCATAGCAAACAACAATGTCGAAGATGTTATGAAGGTAAAGGCTGAACTCGATAAGGAGTTCGACATGAAGAATTTAGGAGTTGTCTCCAGAATTATTGGGATTGACATCCGGAGAGATAAAAAGTAGTCGAGATTATGCTTGGCACAACAATTAGTTGGAAAGCGACACTTCAGAAGATTTTTTCCTTATCAACCACTGAAGAAGAATATATTGCCCTCACTTAAGCTGTGAAAAAAACATTGTGGCTTGAAGGTTTTGCTAAGAAGTTGAAACTTCAAGGTCGAGTTATCACTGTTAATTGTGATAGTCAAAGTTCAATACATCTATCAAAGAATTCGGCCTATCATGAGCGGACCAAGCACGTCGATGTGAGGCTGCACTTTGTTGAAGAGAAAATTGAGCATGGAGAAGTCCAAGTGCTGAAGGTTTCAATTGATGACAATGCTGCTGAAATGCTAGGATTGTTAGCATGTCGAATTAGGCCTTGCCAGTAAGCCCAATTGTTAAGTTAGCTTGTAATTAAAGTTAGCTTAGGAGTTTATAAATAGACTAGTTCTCTCACGTTGTTGTGAGAGGTTAATTTTTGGTATTCACTTGTAATCTTTGAACCCTTATTGAGAAAGTGAATAGTAAAACAAATTTAACCAATTCTATATTCTTCTTCCTTCTTCTCTTTTCCTTTATAAAACCTAATAGGGTTTCTTGTGTTTGTTCAAGAAACTCAATCTTTATCTCATAACTTTGTTCTGTTATTGACGACATCATTTCACAACAAGAATAAATGCTTTAAATTAAAAGACTTTAAAAGATGGACGAGACGCATGCATTTCTCACAAATTGTTTCTCTATATGACTTGTATACTTAGTTCTATAGAGAATGAATATAAACTTCCGACCTCAATCCCATACATTGAGATTTACTTATATAATACTAAAATAGTATTTGTCGACAACAAATAAATCCTAAGGATCTAACATGTATCATATTACATAGACTTCATCTCTATAACTTGCTTCCATGCGTCTTCAAATATAAAACGGCTTAAAACCAACCATCATATTGATTAATGTGTTGGTAACTATTTTGAACCTCTTAATTGCCTCTGTCAAGAGTCTTTCGTTTACTCCTATAGTGTTGTTGGAACATCTCTAATATTAGATAGTCTTTGGGCTTGAGAATATTCTAAGCCCCTAATATTTGGTAGACGTGTCGATCTCGACCTTGTCGAAGAGCTGACTTATGCAAATCCTTTCAACATTTTGGACATGTTTCGAAGAGAGGGAGAGAGAGATCTTAATCTTGTGGATATGTTTCTGAGACTGCTCTAAATTAGTCTTTGCATAGACTCAACTAATAGGTTAGTCAAACCATCTTAGTTGACATAGTTAATATGTCGAAGCCTTTGGTTGAAGCTCTTCACACTTAGCAATTCCCAACATTGTTACTACCATTCTTTATTGACTTTCTTCAACTAGAATTTCCAAGCTAGCAACTACATATGGATGTGGAGATAAGATCATCCTCTCGAAGTTTCCATACTTGTGAACGTGTTGGAGGAATTTGAGGGTGTGATGGAGGAAGCTAAGTATGTTGTTGAGGAATTTAAGCACGTTGTGATGAAAGTTGATTCTCTTAGAGCGAGGGACTATAATTAGCGATACTTGCGGTAACTAAATGTGGAGGAACAAGTACCTGATGTTGAGAATTCTTTGTTGAAACCTTTGGGTCTTGATTAGGAAAATCGTCAAGAACTAGCGTAACATGGTCTTGAAGGATCTAGATGTGTGACCACAAGTTGATTATAAACCATCCATCAAATATACAACCAAAAGTAGTTACAATCGAGAGAATGAAAAGACTCGAGAGAATCGAAGAAACTTGATTCAAACATACAAGACCATTGTCTTAAATTAGAACAGAGAGTGAATGGTTTGATGATGAAGACCATAATGAAAAGTTTCCGATGCAGATGAAATGGTTATCCGATAGACGGTGAGGGAACCTACCAAAGGTTAATAATTTGATACTCAAATCACTAAGAAATTGATGTGGAATTTACAAGTGTGCAGGGTTGGCCAAACCAATATCAAGGCCTAAGGCGAAGTTCATAATAAAAATTTATAAATTGTTAATAATAATTTTTTTTTCAAAAAGTAATATTTTCATTTAAAATTAACATTTATATTTTCTTTAATTACAAAATTATTTATTAAATATGATAGTCAATTTTGTTCAATATTTCAATTAAACTTTCAACTATTTTAACTATAATTATATATTTTTTTATTCAAATTTTTAAAATACTTTAAGTGAAATACTAAGCATTCTATAATGAACAAAAATGTATTAAAAAAATACCAAAAATAAAACAATTAAATGAATATAAAGATTTTACATAAAAATTAAATAAGAAAATGTTAGATAAAATAAAATCTATGTTTTTTGCAATACTTTTTCTCTTTCTACTTCAGAAGAAAAGTGAGATCACAATGCTATTAAAAATTGATAGTGAGAGTTTATATTAATAAATGATATAATGCTAAAAATAAATTAGTATATAAACAATAATACAATGACTTTAGTCATTTCTACATATTCTTCTACATATTCATAAAATTTATAATAGTCAGGTAAAAATGTAAATAGATACTTAATATTATATTAATAAGTTAATAATAAGTGTAACTATTCTAAGGAACAAATTAATAATAGTAGTAAGAAAATTGAATCCTATTAAATAATTTTTTAAATAAGAAAATAAATTTTGAGGCCCTAGACAAATGTCTAGTATGGCTATCCTAAACACTGACCTTGTAAGTGTGAATTGAGCTATACATGGAGGTGACTCAGAGTCACACTTATATATGGAATATTATTGTAATTGTCTCTAAATTATTTAACATAAAATGCAAATGATCTATAGTTGAAATCTTGTGGTTTAGAGGATGGTAGATATGCTCCGGTGCAGAAGATCCACCTATTAGTGGCACAACGAACACTTTAAAAATATTAAGTTGATGCAAATTGAGTCGGTCTAGACCGCATACCAGCCTATAACATTTAGTATAATAAAATAATCTCTATTGTATTTTCAAAACCAAAACTTCTTTATCATCTCATAAAATTCTCTTACAATAATATACTTTAAATAGTCGGTATACAAATTCGCATATGGATTACAAACATATCACTTTATTAGTATATAACTTTTTTTAAGAAAATAAATAATATATGGCGTATTGTGTATTAAAATGTCATTTTTCATTAAAAAATAGCATTACTTTGTCATGCAATGCAAATGAAAAAAAAATTGAAAATGAATTGGATGAGAATTAGAAACCGTTTTCCACGATCTCGGATATTGTAGCGAACCCGTAGGAAAATAATGGATTGTCCGTAATCACTTATATATATATATGCATATCTGTGGGTAACATTGTCTCTCTTTTCAAAACGCCGTTCTCTTCTCCATTTTCTGCATTCTACTCTGCACGTGCATTTTCTTTCCGCTAACGAAACCCTTGTTTCTTCCTCCTTGTTACTTTCAAGTTTCAATTCAAAAAATCAATATCATCATCGATTTTCTCTCTGTTCTGCATCAAACTAAAACGACGCAGTTTCGTGCGTGAGAGGGAATAATGAACTCCGATTCATTTCACTGAGTTGAACCGGAGAAAGATCTGAGTCCGTGTGATCGATTTAACGCGCTTATGGGTGGTTCTGGTTCCAAACTTGAGAAGGCTCTTGGTGACAATTTTCCTGAAGGAGAACATTACTTTGGCCTTGAGAATTTCGGCAATACTTGTTATTGCAACAGCGTTTTGCAGGTTTTCGTTATCAATCTTATTTCTTTTTCTTCTAGATTCGGATTTTGATCTGGTTATTTAGAAATTCATCACTTAGTTGCTTTGATTTCCCGTGGTTCTTTGCGGCCATGTCCCTAGGTTTATCGTTGATTTGATTACTTCTCTGAATGCGGGAACTTGTTAGTTTTGTTTTGCTGAATTTTTAAATGAAATTTTATTGACAATGAGGAAATAAAGATAAGCCTTTTGTGCTTTTCCTTCCATTGCCTCAATGATTATGTTGCATTTGGAACTTTGAGTAAGTAATTTGATTTCATTGACTGAAAAAATGGTTTGCCTATTTTTACTTTTATTGATTTGGGTATTGAATCTGTGAATATTTTTTGTTTTCCCGTTTATGAGGTCTGGCCGATGAGTAGCAAAGATTTTGGTTCACTATTGGAAAGGATACTAGAATCAATGTTATTCTAGGTTGTCGATAGCGCTATAGCGGAACGGGACCTCACCACACATTTGGGCGCAAACACCACTATTGTGAAGATTAGGGTAAATTTGTAAATTGGAATTTTTTAAAGGTCAAGTTGTCAAGTGTTTTCACTCGCATGTTTGCATTTTTGCCAAATTTCTAGGCACAACTTCTTTGCCAAATTTCCACGCACAACTTCTTTGACATTCTTCTTTGCGAATCAGTAAGCCATCCATCGTTCCTCCAAAATCATCACCATTCTTCACAAATTCATCTATTTCTACTCCTTTCGCAGCCATTCACAACTGATTTCTCCTTTGTCTCTGTTTTGCTGTGCTGCTCTGTTTCTCTTTTATTAGCAATCATGGCATCATCTTCTGCAAGCGTAACACAAGCAAGAGCTACTAGACATTACTTTGGACTTGCTACATTAGTGTCTATTAGAGATGAGGAGTTGGAGGTGGAAGAAGAAAAGATTTAATCAAATGATGAGCAAGATGATATTAATATGGTGGAATTTAGAAGTGAAGATGAGACAGATGCGGATGTGATTTAGTCATTTTGTTTACGTTTAGAATTTGTTTTAGTCATTTTGAGTACATTTATAATTTGATTTTGATGGGAACTTATATTGATGGTCATCTCGCTATGCCGCTATAGCATTTTGAGGGTCAGGCGCTACGCGCCGTTATCCGAGATTAACAACCTAGATGTTATTAGCTATTGCATATCTAAAATATCTAGACAATGATAACTGAATATGTCAAACTTGCTTTGTGGAGTACTTTCAAGTTTCAACCCTATACAACTGTTTTTGGATACCATAAATCTTTTGAGTATGTTAGTTTGTAAACCTTGTAACATAAATTTGTGGTTTTTTCCTAACACTATTCTTTCTTGTTCTGTAGGCTCTATACTTCTGTGTTCCATTTCGAGAACAATTGCTACAATATTATGGAAAAAACAAGAATATAACAGATGCAGAGGAAAATCTTTTGACTTGCTTAGCTGACTTATTTTTGCAGGTAACAAATTTACAATTAAAAATTCTTGATGTTTCTTGAATGAGACCTATTCATATATTTGATTGCCTAAATTGTTATTTATCATTATAGAATTTAATTTATATTGGCTTCATTGTTTGTGAATAAGGTACATGGTGTTGATGTTACATGTTATGGATGAAAGAATCCAATTCACCAAATTAGTAAAAATTTTAACCACACTTAGACCAAATAATTTTTATCCCATATCATGTTAAAAAAACTATAAGAATGCCCCAAAGTTTATCAAGTAGCCCTTGCGACCATCCTAAAATAACATATGATCATTTGTAAATTGTGCTAAGAACATACGTTTCTTTATATCCATTTCTCTTGAATCTCCATACCATTGTGTATAGTCCTGATTTAGACACCCCATGTACTTGGCAAAACGTCACACTGTAACCTGGCAAACACAAACACCCATAATTCATTTTATACGTTTTTGTCGAAGCCTTTTCTCTTCTCTCCAAATTTTAACCAGGAAGTTTTATATTCTACTATTTGTGAAGTTTATTAAAACATGACTAGATACTGTAAGGCATAAAATATGTTCCCTTAGTTAGCATTTATGATACTTTTTGTTATCTGTTGTGTGTTTTTCTTTTTTGTCTCCCTCGAATGAGGGATTCGCAGACACTGGTGATTGCGTCCTTAGCTAAATCATCAATAAACTATACTTGAGTATACATGTTTTATTATTTCTCTTTTGAAAAATTGCTTTAAATATATGCAGTTTGCTTTTTATAATACCTATTTCTATTGTTTTTTTCTTCTTTGTGATTATCCTTTGAGATATAAAAAATTGGCAAAGGTGACTGTATGCTTGCCTAAATCTGATTGTTGTGTGTTTGAGTATCTATATTTTGTATATCTTCAATGTTTGCTTCAGATGTCCAATTAATGCACTCATCTGCTTGTTTATTACTTTCATGGTTTTGAATTTACCATGTTACTTCTTTTGAATATAGATAAGTTCCCAGAAGAGGAAAACAGGCGTAATTGCTCCCAAACGATTTGTACAGAGGTTGAAAAAACAGAATGAACTCTTCCGTAGCTATATGCACCAGGTACATGTTTAAACTTACTAGAATGAGCACAAAACTAAAAGGCGTGGTTGTTCTATAAATTATTAACTTTCCTTTGGAAGTAATGAATAGAATATTAGTTTGTACACTTGTACAGTGTTTGGCTATGTTTATAATACATGCTTCTTTTCTGAATATCCCCACTTAGTTGTTCCTCAGTTGCAATTGGTTTTAATATAAAATTTAGCTAGAGATGCTAGCAAAGTCACAATTTTTCAATTGGTATATCATTGGTCTCGTCCAAGAAACTGTTGTTGTATCATTGTATCACACTTACACCCGATGCAAAATGGTTTTGAGCACATAGTTAAATTTGATATCATGGTTAGGTTGATGGTCCGTCAGCTAGGCGGTCATATATGAAGGTTGCAATATATTCCATTGAGCTTAACATATTTTAGTGCAAAGAAATTCTTTACAAGTTATAACTATGTTTCATAATATGAGAACTTATTGACTTGATCACAGTGTATTGATACTATATGATTATATGAAAATCTCTCTACCTGAAATGGAACATTAGAAAGTGATTTTTATTGAGTTTCATGAAATGCAACTGCAACCTTTTAAAACCTATGTTTCCTTAATGCTTTCAGTGAGGTTGAATAATATTCTTTTTTAGTTCAAACAATGTTGTTCTATATCTCTATTTGCTTACAAGATGTCTCTTTCCTCACCTGAGGTTGTTTCACAAGTGAATGTTATTCCTTTTTATTCAAATGTTCTGTTTGTTGTATGATGTCTCTTATTAATGTATTTCTTTAAAAAATAATCTGTATAAAGATTAAAAAGCAACATTGTCATTATGAATCTTCTCATTTTTGGTAGGACGCCCACGAATTCTTAAACTATTTGTTAAATGAACTTGTTGACATTCTGGAAAAAGAGGCCCAAACTGCAAAAGACAATCAAGAGACATTACTACCTTCGGAGAAGATTTCGAATGGACCAAAGAATGGTTTAGCTAATGGTGCTAAAAAAGAGCCGCCTTTAGCTACTACTTGGGTGCACAAAAATTTCCAGGTGATTTGGCAATTCAAAATTTCAATTTTAGCATGTTGCTTGTAGCAAAGCTTGGGGCAACCATACATTGTGTACTTGTTATTCGGTCAATCAGTGTAGGGGGCTACTACGTCGCTCCATAATGATGACAAAACAATGTTTTTAAATTTACATTATGGAATCTCACTGTTGTAAATTGCTTTGATCAGGGAATACTTACCAATGAGACAAGGTGCTTGCAATGCGAAACAGTAACGGCTAGGGATGAAACATTTTTCGACTTGAGTCTTGATATTGAACAAAACAGTTCCATTACAAGTTGTTTGAAAAATTTCAGTTCAACCGAGACTTTGAATGCTGAAGACAAATTTTTTTGTGACAAGTGCTGCAGGTATATATCATTTATTCCTTTCTTGGCCACAAATTTTTATTTTATAATTACATAAACATTAATTTTGCAGCATCAGCTGTATCTACTTAATTAGTTAATAGTTTGTGATGGTAAAGGGCCAGTTCTGCTATTTTAAATTGTTTTTGTAGCTGACTATTTTACTACTTTTATTAAGATGGTTTTTTATGATGATGCAAAGATGTCAAATGGCTTCACTATTATGTATTGATTGTTGCAATCTATGTTATTTTAATTGAAAGTAGAGTGCTATATATGTTTATTTACTAGTATTGTAATGCTTTCTGGGTTTATGGTTTTGACCACGTCATATGCAGGAACTTTATAATCTGTAATAAAATGCATGTACTCGTCTGTTTTGCTTTTCATGTTCTATTAATAACTGAGATGCAAACTTTCTTTGGATTAGTTTGCAAGAAGCTCAAAAGAGGATGAAGATAAAGAGACCGCCTCGTGTTTTAGTCATTCATCTTAAGCGGTTTAAGTACATGGAACAGCTGGGCCGCTACAAGAAACTGTCTTACCGTGTGGTTTTTCCCCTTGAGCTCAGGTTGAGTGATACAGACGAAGAAGCAGATATTGAGTATTCTCTATTTGCAGTAGTTGTCCATGTTGGGAGTGGGCCCAACCACGGGCATTATGTTTGCCTTGTCAAAAACCATAACCACTGGTTATGTTTTGACGACGAAACTGTTGAGGCGGTTGACGAAGCTTCTGTTCAGACATTCTTTGGGTCAACACAAGAATTCAACAATAATACAGACCATGGCTATATTTTGTTCTATGAGAGCGTTAACAGAAACTAGACAGAGTAGAGTCTTACGAGTTTTAGGTTCTTGAGTATTTTGGACTTGTCTTGTTCATCTGTTTGGTTATAACTTATTTTCTTTTTACCATTTTCCCTTAATCAAACTGTTTGAGGTGTGATACCTTCATGACAGTATACGGTTGTGAAAATGTATACTAGGTGGTTGGTATGTACAGTTGATAGTGAAAGCACTGATTTTTTCACTAACTTTTCGTATAACAGATACAACAGTGTACATACTGTGAAAATTTCACGCACAATGCGTTCATGGTTGTTAAATGTTCAATTAGTTAGAAACACAATGCAATGGTAGTTCCTTTAAGCACCTTTTTGTACTCACAAAAGATGCTTATATAAAAGGGACATGAATTATTTTCTACATTTTGTTTTACAAGAGCTTTTTGGGAAGTGTGATCAACAAAAAGCATTCACAATGTGATTAATGTATTGAGTCATGGAGCATTGTTTCTGAAGTGATTAATGCCAGTTGTAGTTGTTTGAAATTGAAACCCAAACAAATTTTATATTCTTTTGTGTGTATATAGGTGACTGAACTAGTAGGATTCAATGGTTGCTTATGTTGAAGATATTCAAAGCTCAAGCTAAAGAATAAATTCATGCATCTTGAATAAAATCGATGGGAAGTCCATAGAATTGAAGTATTGTACAAAAGGAGAAGCTAATTCTTCAGTTTGTGATGATGGTTGGTTTAACCTGAAATTCCACGGTAAAAATTAGATTACCATCTTTTATTGAGATATGGATATAACTATATAAAGATAATTTGATCAATGATGATAGAGTTGAGGAAAAGTGTGATGCAGAGATAAATTTAATCATTCAAATATACACTAAAGGAATCAAAGTTTCCAAACATCAAAGGTACCGAATCCTATTTCAGGAAACTTAGATATTCTTAGACGTGGTTTTTACTATTTTTAAATAAAAATATAACAAGTGTATTTAAATATCGTTTAAGAAGAAAAATAGGAAAAAAGATGTATAATAAGAAATTATATATTTATCATATTTTCATTGAAAAATAGGAAAACTCACATTTAATGAATTGTATTTAAGTCTTCTCCTAAATTTAATAGGATAATAATAATATTAAATATTAATATTAATGTTTATCTTCTAAAAAAACTTGCATAAAGAAGATTAGAAGAAGTTTAGCAATGACTTTGGACTTCTTTAATATTACGTGTTGTAACATTCTGAATTCAATTAAATTATTTGATTGAATTATTAAATTTATTTTAAGTAATTATTTGATGTTGGTTGATTTAAAATAACTAATTTGAATATGTGTTGTTGGAGTGTGGTAGAAATAGTAGAGAGTGGTGAGAAGGTAAAGTGAATTAAAAAATAATTATAATAAGTAGAATTTTAATTATTATTATTATTGATAAAACAAGAAATTGGAGAAAATATGAGTTTTGGATCAATCGAGGGATTTGAGGAGAGTTTGGGATGAAGGAGAAAATCTAAGATTCATTTGGGCAAAAATAATAATTAAGTAAAAGTGACCGAAGTACTATATATTCTAAAAGTTAGGAGAGAAGCTAGGTTTTTGGGAGAAATTGTCATTACGTGAAATTTGAAAGAAAAAAAGGAAAAAGGAGGGAAAGAGCTTTTGGAAGGGAGAAGAGCAAAAGTTAGGAATTTGAAGAGAGAAGCCATATAAGTTACTTGATTCATTATCATTTGCTGAAAATTCAAGGTAAGGGGGGAGAAAGGGCTATCAATTAGGTGTATTGCATGATGGGGTAGAGATGAGGAGTCCTTAACCTCATTAGGGTTCTTAAATTTTTCTTCTTATGAATTTCTTATGATGAATCTTTGAAAATGGATTGTTGATCTTGAATTTATATGTAATGTTATGATTGAATCGATGTTTGAATGATTATAATCATGTATCTATAATTTTCTGCCATGGATAAATGCTTGAATGTTGAGTTTTATTCATGAATTGATGAAAATTGCTTTTAAATTTGATGATGAAATTGCTATGATGATGATGGAATAAGTGTTGTAATATGTTAACGATTATGATGACATGATTCATTGTTAATTTTTGGAAATAAGTTGTTTAGGTGTTAGGGTGTTTTTAGGTGATTAAAAGTAAGAAACCTTATTGTACGTGAGAAAATTTGGGTTTTTGAACAAAATTAGCTTAGACCAATCGATTGGCCTCCTCAGGACAATCGATTGGTTCACTCACAATTTTGAAAAATACGATGGTAGTGAGTTGAGCCAATTGATTGTTCCCCCTGGAGCAATCGATTGGTCCTTGTTTTGGATGGTTGACTCTTTTATCGATTTTGGCTGTAACTTCTGTTTCGTAAGTCCAAACAAGACGTCGTTCGAAGTGTTGGAAAGCTAACACGCAGAGCTACCTCATGGTGATGCTTTGTGAATAATTTAAAATATAATTATGTACCTACCGTGGCAATGTTTGACTTGACTTGTGTGATCGATTAGCGAATCGTTATGTTATACGATGATGTGTCGTTGTGTTGGTGAAGTAACATGAATAAATGTATATGAAGTTACAATTGTTGAGTTGATGTTGTAACATTATTTGATTGTTGCTTATGATGAATAATATTGTGCATAAATGGTGAGATGCGTATGATGATTCTTTTGGTGAACCATATGATGAAAATGTATGTTGTTGAGAGTCATGCATCATGGTCTACAGGCTTCGATCCTATTTCGGTGTGCTCTGGTACTATGGTGGGGATTGGGAGCAAATAGTAAGTTTTTTGTGGGAATCGGTGAAGCGTCACCTAGGGTGATGATAACAATTTGGCGTGCTTTGGTCCTATGACGGGGATCGGGAGCGAGATGAACCTGAGTGTTCATTAATGATAGCACATGCATAATGAGTCACTTGTAGAGTACATTTGCAAACATGATAGTATATGTAGCGGATAATTCATGATTTTGTTGATTGGTTGTGAATTTGCACATGTTATTGTGAAGGGTGTGAAACTATGTGGTTGCTAATTATGTACTTGAGTGTGTGTTTTGTGATGTCTTCTATACCTTAGTATTCTTCACACTGTTTAGATTGGTTTGTTGTTTCTCACCCCATTTGCTTTCATGTTGTCCACCATGGACATCTTGCAGATACTCAACATTATAGTTTGTTGATGTAAGTGGAAGTTAACTCCTCAAGTTACTTCGTTTGGGTTTTGTTGTTAGAAGTCTTGCTATGATTATGCAACATTAGGGTCAGGAATGCTATTTGATTATTATGTTTTGTTGGAGTTTAAACCTTTAATTAGTTATATGTTGGAGTTGTTGAGAGTTGCTTTTGGGAACTCTTGTTTTTAGAGTATTTTATTTAAGTGGAAGTTTGAGACTAAATGTCTTATTGTGACTGTTTTATTTAAATTGAAATAGGAACGATATTGCCGCAATGATACCCTAAGTGAATGTAAGCGTGCGATGACAGATGTTGATTGACGTTAGTATTTCCGTTGCAATGTTTTGTTGATTGTTAAATGTTTGTTTTGTTAAGGGTTTTATCGTTGGTGACACCTTAGATTATTGTGTAAAACTTAATATATAAGTATCGGGGTTTAAGGTGTTACAACAACGACTGTATATGAAATCTGGAATGAGATTTACTTCTTTTAACGCCCAAAAGGTACCGTAAATTTGGCTTAATGGTGCTGGTGCTCGTTAGATTTATCTTGCAATATGAAAATTTTTATGTGTCTATCTATTTTTTAAAACTAAAATATATCTATTTCAATCTAGCAAAATAAACCAATTTCAACCCACTACTCTGGCATACTCCAATGGCTCTTCTTCCGTTGCGAGAGTTGCCACCATTAGTCAATCTTCACTATTTTATTTTTTGCTTTCATATTCATTGTCGTTGGCGCTGTCATACTCTTTGTTTTCTTAACCGACTACCTTGTCGTACGCATATGGCTCTCCCATCGTCGTGAGAGTCGCCATCATCCATCAATCTTCACTATCTTTTCATATTCATTGTGATCGTCGTCATCGTACTCTTTGTTTTCTCAACCCACTACCTTGTCGTGTTAGATTAATTATTTAATTAATCAATTATAGATTGACATAATCAATTATTAATTAATTATAGTATGGTAAGTTGTTATTAAACAAATTATTGATGACTTATTTGATTGAGTTTTGTGTTAGAATGAACCGTGATGGATTGAATCATTTAGTTAAGCCAAATAAGAGGTATATGTCCTGAATCATTTAGTCATTTAAGTGTTACCCCATTAAAACCTTTGACGAGAATGAGGGTAGTAATTATCTTATATTTACTTTCTACGACGACAACCTCTCCAATTTAATAAGGTACACCGTTCTTATAATAATTGATTATTCTTTGATTCAATAATATGCTATAGTTTATACTTAGCGATTGTCGATTTAATTTATTTTAAATCCATTAATTGGTATCAGAACCTATCGATCGGACCATGGGATGTACATCATTAATATTTAAACACCGATCTTGAAAGAGTGTTAGGCATGAGAAAGTGTATTAGGAAGCTTTTAAGTTCCACATTGGTTACTACTAACAAATTTGTGTTTAGTGACCGAATTAGAGACCGAAAAAAGTCTAAAAATCAGTCACTATAACGTTTAGAAACCAATAACACGACTACCAAATTTCGGTTGGAAAAGTGCTAGTGGCTAACCTTTAGAGACGAATTTAGTGACCGATTTTAGCAACTCAAATTAGTGACAGATTTTAGTGACCATTTTCATTTTTTTTAAACTTAAAATAAAACAAAAAGTTTTGTCTCTAGCAAGAATCAAACTAATACACTTTCCTTTGTGAGGCTTTCGGGTGTCTACTAAGCCATTTGGTGTTTGTTGTTTAATTTACATTTGAAATGTATATATTATTACTGAAATAAAATTTTTAAATATTATTTAAAAAGATTATTACATTAATTGTTATTAAAATTATATTTTATCTAAATTAATAAATTTGTATGA